GACCAGGCCAGCATGGGGAGCAGTAAGGGGCAACCAGAATGGCGGGGAGCGCATTTAGGAGCAACCAGGCCGACAGAGGGGGGCAGTTGGGGGCAACCAGGCGGGCAGGAGGGGGTAGTTAGGGGCGATCAGGCAGGCAGGCAGGTGAGCAGTTAGGAGCCAAAGGTTCTGGATTGTGAGAGGGATGTCTGACTGCCGGTTTAGACCCAATCCCGGGGTTCCCCTGAGGGGTCCCGGATTGGAGAGGATGCAGGCTGGGCTGAGGGGACACCGCCCCCCACCCCCGCCTGTGCACGAATTTCATGCACCGGGCCTCTAGTGCATAATAATTAGCCAAAGAACACGTATTCCTTACTGGCCACCAGTCCCATCTCTCTTTGAACTGCCACCCTGGTTTCTGTGTTCAACATTCTGTAAAAGAAAAAAATTCCATAACCATTAATTAGTAAATCAAAATGAATTGACTGTAATTAATAAACTCTGTAAAACAAGTATGGACTCAAAATTTAACAGCAGCAGCTATGCCATACGTATTTTTAGTCAGGTAATTATGTAAGAGGGATGAATAAAAGTAGATATATTAAAAGGTGATTATGTAGTAGCTCAGTAAGTAATTGAAAGTTATACTTATCAATTTCATATTCTTTTTAGAAAAGTAGGACTAGTTCCTTACACTGCTTAAAATTAAACTTTCAAATATATGGAATGTGGCTATTTCACAGATCTATGCACCTGTAGAAAAAGAATTTTAATAATCTTCTCTTACATTAACAAATGGTTTAAAATAAAATGCATTAGATTGTAGAAATGGCCAAGGATAGGCAGGCTGACAGGGGACCCTGGCCGATGTTGTTCAGTAGTTAGAGTGTCGGCCCACCCACCAAAGGGTCAATCTCTGGTTGAATTCCTGGTCAAGGGAATATATCTGATTGCAGGTTCGATCCCTGGCCCCAGGGAGGAAACCAATCAACGTGTCTTTCTCGCATCGATGTTTCTCTCTTTTCCCTCTCCCCCTCCCCCTGTTCCTTGCACTCCTTCTAATAATCAATGGAAAAAATAACCTCGGGTGAGGAATGAATGAATAAATAAATAAAATATCAGCTTCCTCTGTTAAATTTCAAAATTTTATGACAGATTTCTGAATGTGTCAAAAATGCTTCCTATCTCCTAGGTCAGGAATCTCTATGTACTGACCATGCAACACAGACATGAACCGTGTCTTACACGGTGATGACTCAGCACAGTCCGCCCGGGCTAGTCAGCCGTGCTCCTGCTACAGGGCGCCCAGGGCAAGCAGCGCCAGGACACGCACCTTGAGCTCTCTTTTCCTATGCTCCTCTTTCGATGACCTCTCTTTTCTGTCCATGCTACCTCGGTGCCTCTCGTCATCAAAGTGAAAGCCTTCTTTATGTGCTTTCTCTTTGTGTCTTCTCTCCCCTTCATTTTTGGAGAGCGAGTTGCTTTTTTCTTTTGAGGACTTCTCTCTCTTTTCCCTGGTGCTGCTTTTATCACGATGCTTCTTCCCTCGATCAGCCTCTTTGTGCCTCCTGTGTCTTCTTTCACCCTCCTCTTTATAAAGCCAGTAATTAAGGGGGTTGTCCTTGCTGTCACCGTACTGCAACTATGAAAGGACACGGGGAAAGGTGCATGAGCACAGGGGACGCACACGCTGTCTTTCGTGCATGTTCTGACAAAGGCGAGGAAGGCCAAACCACCACTTCCCTGCAGCCCTCCATCCCGCTGCAGGGACCTTCCACACACTCCCTGATGACACGCTCCACAAAGAAAAACCCGCTGCTTCACTGGCTACCCACCTGCAGGGTGGCACAACCCTGCAGCCCACCGCCCTCCTCCTGATGTGGGAACAAGACTCAAATCCCTGTACAATCCAGACTTCTCTATGGGCCCCTCATCACATCTGTCATCCCCCCAACTCCAGCACATCCCAGGCTGCACCAAGAGCAGGCTCTCCTGTGACAATCTCTCCATAGGCTGCCCCACAGGCTGTCTCTGAGGCAGTTCGCACCCCTGGGCCTCACACACAGGGACATTTAAGACCAGGCGCGCCCTGACCGGTTTGGCTCAGTGGATAGAGAGTCGGCCTGCGGACTGAAAGGTCCCAGGTTCGATTCCGGTCAAGGGCATGTACCTTGGTTGCGGGCACATCCCCAGTAGGGGGTGTGCAGGAGGCAGCTGGTCGATGTTTCTCTCTCATTGATGTTTCTAACTCTCTGTCCCTCTCCCTTCCTCTCTGTAAAAAATCAATAGAATATATTAAAAAAAAAAAAAAGTCCAGGCGCCATGGTTTCGCCATCACTGTACCTCAGACCACGTGGATGCTCAGTGGTAACATGACGCCCATCTCAGGCCATGGTTGCTGGTATGCAGGACATGTTGTCAGTGTGTAGTGTTTGGGCTCAAACTCCCAGCTCTGGGAGCATCATGACCCCACAAACCGCTGCTCACACCAATTAGCACTCCCTGGTCACCCGCTCCAGGCCCAGGCTTTTGACTGTGTGGCTCCCCCTCATCCCCATCCCCCATGCTTCTCTCCTCTGGTGGTCGCTGGCAGTCCCCATGCCCCCATCCTGCTCATCTCCAGGGGACACACTTTCCAAGAAAACATACAGATAAGCCCTGGACAAAACCCCTCAGTTTCATCAATCAGACGCCCGCCACCAGAATAAATTCTATGGGATTAAAGATTCAAGTGCTAAAATAATTATAAGGACCCAAAACAAAACACAGGTGACTATTCAATTATAAGGACTCAAAACAAAACACTTGGTGTGGGGAAGGTGCACTATACATCGACCACTTCATAACTTTAAACTTAAAGTATGAAGATTCCACAAATGAAATTCAAAAAACACAAAGAGTAGCGACAACAATGAAAAGCAGAGTTAATCCTTAAAGTGCCCTTAAATGAAAAGGACTCGAGATTAAAATGGAGGTGGAGTAAGTAGATGCTGCACAGACACATTCTCAAGACTAAACTGGAATTACAACTAAAATACAGAAAAATTTCTTGAATAATCAACAGAAGAGACATAGGACAGAACCCTGATACCTGAGGACCAAAAGTGGAGACGGCATAGAGACTGGTAGGAGGGGTAGAGACTGGTAAAAGGGCTGGACGGGTGCCCACAGACAGCAGATGAAGTCCCGGAGAGATATCTCAGCTGTGGGGGGAGCCACTGAGAACTCCAGGGTCTAATCCCCAAGCTGGGCCCCCAGCAGAGAGCACCAGAACTAAGAGGGTACCTACATCCGGCTGTGAAAAGCAGCAGGCTACTGCCTGCCAGGAAGAGAGCTAGAAATTCAGGCATTCCCTTAAAGAGCCAATGCACAAAATTCCCCGTGTAGCCACCCACCTTGTGCTCTGGCAGAGGGAGGGCGGACTGGACTGGAGCTGTGCTAGAAGCCAGGATCGGGGGCTCTGGGCTAAGAGCTCAGAAGGCAGACACCCCAGTTTTCTATGCTGAGTCATTCCCTCATGCTATGGAGATCGTCTTTCTCAGGAAGACATTTGCTATACAGGTGGCTTTGCCTGGGCGAAGAGAGTTGACCCACCCTATTGGAAAACACCTTGCCCCACAGAGCAGAGAAGAGACTGAGAATAACAACTATCCTCCAGGTAGAAGCAATTGCCCCACCCTGTTGAACAAAACTCTCACCACACCTGTAGACAATTGCCTGAGCGCAATTCAAGACAAAAATCCTATCCATCTATAGACAGAGGCAATCTCTAGAGCAGCGGTTCTCAACCTGTGGGTCGAGACCCCTTTGGGGGTCGAATGACTCTTTCACAGGGGCCGCCTAAGACCATTGGAAAACACATAGTTTTTGTGATTAATCACTATGCTTTAATTATGTTCAATTTGTAACAATGAAAATACATTCTGCATATCAGATATTTACATTATGATTCATAACAGTAGCAAAATTACAGTTATGAAGTAGCAACGAAAATAATTTTATGGTTGGGGGTCACCACAACATGAGGAACTGTATTAAAGGGTTGCAGCATTAGGAAGGTTGAGAACCACTGCTCTAGAGGCTTTGAATCTTTGCCTGATCTAATTAGTAAGAAATGGCGTTTGACACTGTCCTGCACTAGAGATTGAGAGGCGTAGCAGATTTACCTAATACATAGCCACAGGCAGCCAAAATGAGGAGACAAAGAAACAACCCTCAAATGAAAGAACAAGATAATTCTCTAGAACAGTGGTTCTCAACCTTCTGGCCCTTTAAATACAGTTCCTCATGTTGTGACCCAATCATAAAGTTATTTTCATTGCTACTTCATAACTGTAATGTTGCTACTGTTATGAATCATAATGTAAATATCTGATATGCAGGATGGTCTTAGGCGACCCCTGTGAAAGGGTCGTTCCACCGCCAAAGGGGTCGCAACCCACAGGTTGAGAACCACTGCTCTAGAAGAAGAGATAAATGAAATGGAGATAAAAAATTTATCTGATACAGAGTTCAGAGTAATGATGATAAAGATGCTCAGTAGCATGAGATAAGATATAGTAACCATGAAAACAGAAATAAAGAATGACATAGCACAAATAAAGAAGACATTGGAAGAAATACACAGCAGATTAGGGGAAGCTGAGGATTGAATCACTGAATTAGAAGACAGGGTTGAAAAAAATCAATCAGAGAACCAAAAAGAAAAAAAACAATTTAAAAACAGGAGAACAGCTTAAGGGAGCAATGGGACAACATGAAACATAGCAATATTCAAATAGCAGGTGTGCCAGAAGAGGCAGAAAGAGCGAAAGAGATATAGAACATGTTTGAAGAAATAATGGAAGAAAACTTCCCTAACCTGGTAAAGGAAAAAGTCATACAAGTTCAGGGGGCACAGAGAACCCCAAGCAAGAAGAACCCAAACAAGCCCATGACCAGACACTTCATAATTAAAATGCCAAAAATTAAAAACAAAGAGAGAATCTTAAAGACAGCAAGAGAAAAGCAAAATGTTACCTCCAAAGGAGTTCCCATAAGACTGACACCTGATTTCTCATCAGAAACTCTAGAGGCCAGAAGGGAATGGCATGAAGTACTCAAGGTAATGGAAAGCAGGGATCTGAAACCAAGATTACTATATCCAGCAAGGCTATCATTCAAAATAGACAGTCAAATAAAGAGCTCCCCAGACAAAAAAAAATTTTTAAAAAGGTTAACAGAGTACATCATCAACAAGCCAGCATTACAAGAAATGCTAAAGGGATAGATGTAGTGAGAAGAAGAAACAGAGAGAGAAACCTAGTCATACAGAATTAAAATGGCAATAAATAAGTACCTATTAATAATAACCCTAAATGTAAATGGATTAAATGCTCCAATCAAAAGATATAGGGTAGCTGAATGGATACAAAAACATGATTCAACTATATTCTGTCTACAAGAGACCCACCTCAGAACAAAAGACACACACAGGATGAGAGTGAGGGCTGGAAAAAAGTTTTCCAGGAACATGAAAAAGAAAAAAAAGCTGAAGTAGCAATACTCAGAGCAGACAAAATAGACTTCAAAATGAAGGGTATCACAAGAGACAACAAAGGTCACTACATAATACTAAAGGGATTGATCCAACAAGAGAACATAACCCTGGTAAACATATATGCACCCAATATAGGATCATCTAAATATATAAAAAACTTCTACAAGACTTTTAAGGGAGAGATCAACAACAATACAGTCATAGTAGAGGACTTTAACACCCCACTGACTTAACTGGATAGATCTTCCAGACCAAAAAAAAAAATTATCAATGAAACAGTGACTCTAAAGGACACACTGGATCAGATGGATGTAATGGACATTTATAGAATATTTCACCCCAAAGCTGGAGGATATACATTCTTCTCAAGTGCACATGGATCATTACCAAAGATAGACCACAAGTTGGAGCACAAAACAAGTCTCTATGAGTTCAAGAAGATTGAAATCATATCAAGCATCTTCTCAGATCACAGTGAAATGAAATTAGAAATCACCTAGAGTAAAAACACCCAAAAACATTCAAACAGATGGAAGCTAAATAGCATGTTATTAAACAACTAGAGGCCCGGTGCACAAAAATTTGTGCACTCGGGGGGGTCCCTCAGCCCAGCCTATGGCCTCTTGCAGTCTGGGACCCCTCGGAGGATGTCCACCTGCTGGCTTAGGCCTGCTCCCCG